AGTCTGGAATAAAGAGCCGCACGCGGCTGGTGCGCCGAGCGAATTGTTTCATTGATTATCCACGGATAGATCAGAGGTGGCGAAGCTCATTGGCTCTGTCAACAGGTGCCATGGAAATGATCCTCCGTGTGAGGTCCTCCATAATAATGAGTCTTGTTTATGCGAAGGAACTAATGTTTTGCTCTGTATTCAAGGTGTATTTCATTGGCACAGGTGCATTTGACGCGATAGTTTGAAATTGTTGAAAATTGGAACACTCATTTCGTTAGGGCAGAAGGTTTTCGTGGGTTCCTTTGAGAAAACCCAAACATAATGATTCCCCTCTTCCTATCTGATATGGGTAAAATTAAATGTCAATCCTGATTTCTTTTGGTCACAGCGTTCCGTTTTCCATGTGGCATTGCGTACGTACAGCTTTATTGCGCATGCCATAGGACTAATGGATTCGGCGTCAACCGGCATTTCAGTAAAAACCTCGGCTGTCGTGTAATGCTGCCGTTTTGAGTTAAGCTTTCCTGAGCTTTTCGGTCCTGCTCCAAATGCCTGAAAACTTTGCTGTCATTTGCAGAGCACAATTTGGAGAGTTGGTAAGTACGAACTCCGATTATGTTTTTGTGGTGACTTCGGCTCGTGTGTGCTCTGAAGATCGTTCATTGGTAGATCCACCAACACATGATTCTGGATGCTGGATTTGGGCGAAATCTGAATTGTTGCCTGGCGGCGTCCCACCAGCAGATCACGTCAGGTCTATCCGCGATCGGCGATCCGGTTCTATCTGATCACAGCTGCTTGACCATTTGTGGGCCATTTGAGGATTTCGATACATTTCAGTTGGCTGAATCATAAAACCTGGTATATTAATTGAGAAAGACCCTTTACACCAAAGAAAAAAATATTATTTTAACAAGATTATATACATGTTCCAACCAGTTGATATAAGTGAGCTTATTTCATCATATCTGATGCTTGTTTCAAAAACCTTCAAATATGGAACATCCCCTTTAATCATGGGGCCACAGGGCCATCTCACCTCTCGTCCCGAGACGCAGTGCCAAGCCGGGATCGTCACAGGGCCAGTGCCCTTTCCCCTCCCCCTAATTGCACAGGAGGGAAGAGGGTTGATGTGGCTCCTCCCGTCCGGTGGGGGAGGACCAAGGGACATCTTCAGAGCGTACAACCATCCATGGTCCGGTTGGGACGGGGACGATAGCCCAGGCACTCACATCGTGCGTGCTGTCGTCGGCGTCCCGTTGCCCGCAGAGCTAGAGGTCTTCGGTAGGTGATCAGCGTCGGGGCCGTCCAGTTCTCGATGCACGGCTGTCGGCCCGTGATGCACGGCACTCGTCCCTTTCGCCTCGGAGACCTCCGGCAGAGATTCGCTACGTTGTTTTCTCTCGCACCGCCAATCAGGCGCCACGAGTCCATCAGTCTTGGCTGGCCGGCTGGCGGCAAATGCTCCCTTCGAAGTGGTGGTTCCGAGACGGAAAATAACCGCTGCCCCGGTGAAGATCTGGAAGACCCACCCGACTACCCCCAAAAGCTGACCCCGCCGGGTCAGCTCTCGCGCGCCACTCTTATCCGCCAGGTTGGTTTAGAGCACCTCTCCTGCTGTTGCGGGGCGACCAGGCGCAGATTTTTGGCCGATTTGCGTTGCGTTCTCAGGCTTCTTTCGTCCTTATGACCTCTATTTGTTCGGATGGGGAATTTCTGGCCACGGCCGGCTTTCTTGCCGCTCCACACCATGCCGGGAAGCCCCACCGGTCCTGGCCGGGCCGTGTAAAAAATGCAAGGTATCGAATTCACGCCTACAATGATACTGCCCATACTTAATTTTAAAAGTTTAAGGGCTGAACATGTGTGGGTGCTGAATGTAGCATAACAACTGTTGCTATAGCCACAAAATTTTGCTTCGAGTGAGATGCGTTTTGATATTTTTATGAAGTAAAATGCTTAATTAGGCTGATGAGTCATCTCTTTTATTCTTGGCGTGCCCCAACCAAGGTCTCTTGTCAGAACGGATGCGCTAACCACTTCTTCCTGACACGAGTGCTATATTTTTATGCATTTTGAAAATCTTGAATTATGCTTAAGCTTGCCACCTTAGCAATTCAGCCTTCAATGATTCACAATCTTGAAGTCAATACCATAATTCACCACGCAAATGGTTGCATTGATTGCATTGGGGCATGCCAATGATAAGCTCTGTCGTATGTCAGCACTTGGCTTTGCGAACTTGAGGCAAGATTGTTTGCGTGTATCCTTGTCTTAGATTGTACATTTAAGGTTGTTAGTTTTTATAGCGTTTGTCAACGCACTTAAGTCACTTTCACGTACTTACAATACATTTTTACTTAAGGTGAGCAGCCGAACTTCATGCAGCCAGGGAAAGACTCAACCTACGCAAAACGATATTCAAATGAACACCCATCACATCGTGACATATATCACCCAGCTGCAGACACACAACTGTGAGAAACAGACATTTCACGGGAGTCCGGCACGGCCGTTTGACTCGAGGTGACTGCACGCATCTAGGTGACTCGAGATGACCGCACGCATCTAGGTGACTCGAGGTGACCGCACGCATCTAGGCGGGAGCAGCGCCGGCGGCAGCTACGGCGGCAGAGGGGGCGGCAGCGAAGTCGGAAGGGGGGGATGCCGATAGGCGCGAGGCAGCAGCAGCGTCTGCGACAGGGGTGTGGGGTGTGGGGTGTACAGCGACACGGGCCGGAGCACCAACCAGCCAGCCTCGGGAGCTGTAGTGAACGGTGGCGGTTAAGAGACAAAGGCGGACAGCATGACTGCCGGGCCGCTGAGGAAAGAACGCACGGTATAGGCTGGGAAAAGAAAAGAGAGTGCCTTTGACAGCTTTACCAAAGCTATGCCAGTCTCTCAACCAACATTAGAATGTACATCTGTCCATAAAGCATTTCACTTTTCTTAAATTCTCTATTTTACCATGCTTTCTGGCTATGTATTTTCAGTACCAAAGTCTCGCTTGAGCAGTGTTTTAAAGTAGGTAAAGTATGAGCGAATCTTTCGACGTTTCGCATCGTATTTAGCAGCTAGTACAATTGCGATGTTATAGATTATAACTGCACTGTTGCAATAATGGCATATTTTTATCTCGTTGCTAGACATCGCTGGTCCCAAGCCATGTCCTGATAGACATTAATATAAGAAATAAACTTGTTTTAGGTGTCGTAATTTATCAATGTAAATCGCAACTAGTTTTGTGTTCATAAATTGGATTATGCGTTTTACGACAAAAACGTGCATCTTTTTATTTTCGGAAACAGGCTACAGGAAGATATCGCGTCAAAAAACTAAGAAATTCACTGGCAATTCCGTGTTCTGCTACCTCAACGAACACTTCAGCATTCGCATAATGCAATATCACTTGGGTCATTACGGTTTAGAATTCATTTCAAAGTTTCGCTTTCGCTTCTCACCATTGACTTCAAAGTCAGGTACGTACAGAATGCAACTTTCTGCTGGTTTCGCTGTATGTAACTTAACGATACCTACGCTATTCCGGTCGTGTCGTGCCAGACTTTGACAGCATTTAGCAGTGAGCTTTCCCTTGTTTCGCCAGATTTTGAAGAACTTTTTGGCTTGGAATGGTACGATCCATGAATCTGAGGCGTAAAAAACGAGCGCGTCAGACACTTGCCCCATAAAAAGAAAATAAAGTGGCCGAAAACCACCAATATTTGTGAGGGTGAGGGAGCCAAGTTGCAGTGGGTATCACAGTGAAGCTTGGCCCCTCAGTTGACTTAATTCTAGATCTGCCACTGTCGAGTAATTCATCAAACCACGGCAAGTCACCGTATGAATATATTTGCCAAGCACAATGCCTTACCCCAGGTTTAAGGCATCGACAGCGTGCATTCCGGACGAAGGTTTGACTGCATGTCGTACAAGAACTAAATATGATTGCATGATGTGTCTGCTTCTAAACTTTATCTTAAGCTGCCACCCGAGCTCTTCACATGCTCGAACCAACCCTACCCGGTTTCTTGCTAGTATCTAACATAATAAAAAGTAGGCAAAGCGATTATCTGTTATAATCAAGCAAGCACAGCGACTATCTATCAACCATGTGGTCTTTATTAGAAGGTGGCTTTCGGCATAATTTCTATCCCGCTAAAGACTTGGTCAATTAGTTTTGGGATAGTGAAATCAAACACGCATTCAGAATGGAAAACATCAGACGTAATTTAACAATAACATTTGTATGAGACAACGGCAGTAAAAAAGACGGTCTACCTACAATCGGAAAGACATTTAAGTAACTTCCCGCTAAAAGCCCGGAATACGCGCACAATACAGTAAAATTTCTCAGCTTTGTAAAATTTTACGTTTCCATATACTACGTAACAGCTGTTTTCAGCTAGTTCTATCCTAATGTTCTTATTCTAAACGTGCACAGCCATGCTGTGCATAACTAGTTGGACATCACGGCAAAACAGGATAAAACGCTCACGCATAATGTGGCGTACGGCCACCGCCACAAGTAGCACTGCGCCCCACCAACAGCTTCGTGATGATGGGGTCCAACTCCGAACCCGCTAAAGCTACCAGTACGACGAAATATCATCCGGGCATAATCTCTCTTTCCTCCCTAATCCTTGCAATTTAGAAATATAAAGATACGCCGGTCGTCTGCAAGTCAATCTTCCATTAAAAACTTGGTCAGTGACCGTCCTAGAAATAGAGACTGCCTTCTATTTTGTTTTTCTCGGTTTAGCCCCCAAGGCTTATCATTGCTCTCCTCCCACACGATAGTGACAAACCTGGCCCTAAAACGTGTCCAATTGGTCCGGCTGCCTTACATCTCGATCGCTCACTGCTCTCTGGTGGTTGCCTCTTAGGGTCTTTGAGCTTCTCAATGGTTTTCCGGCATAGACTTGTCGGCATCGACATGTGCATTATTAACCTATTTTTATTTTGTGCTGTTTTTAAACCTGAATTTCGGCCAAACCACCAGGCACCCCCCGAATGTGGAGCTCCGTGCAGACTACTGATCCTACATACCCCTAAAAATCTTACGGTTAGGGTTTAAGCGGCATCATCACCAAAAGGCATATGTGCATTTATCCCGAAATCATATAATGCACTTATCCGGGGTGTTGCGCCCAAGGCTGTTGTCAGCTGTCTGCCGGAGTTGCCGGCGGATTGCCTTGTTCACTGCCGTTGTCTCCGAGGGTTTGAGGGTATGTTATGCGGTATGAGGGTTTGGTCAAAACGTACGTTGAATTGTGTGCAACACTTTGTGTTTTCTTAACGCGTTTTAAATTTAATCCTTATGATAATGGTTGACCAAAACTGCAGAAGGAGCAAAAATTATCTCAATACGTAGCTTTAAGTAAAGCACAAGTTAGGGGAAAGGTTACTTTTAAAAATAAAAAACTATGCCCCACCTACATCAGACGACCAAACATAGCACACGCGTCTTCTTGAATCAAATCATACGTCGTACGCGCTTCAGTGAAGGGTAACCTTATGTCTTGCAGGGTGGCCCGTACTCCTGAAAATGAGGCAGGCAAGTCAGCCAGCACTACTGTGGATCAATACAAAATTATGAGTCAATCATGTCCAATGCCATGAGCATCGCAATCTCACAGCGGACTGTCGCAATATGGAACGTGATCATTATTGTAGCACGTTAACGATGCTAATCAAATGCGGTGGGCTGCTTTTCAAGTCTGGCAGCTGCCAATGTCACGAGCGTTGCAGTGTCAAGCAAGCGCAGCCGTGCAGCTGCTCGGCGTCCATTGTTACCGGACACAAGAGGTCAGCTCGATGTCAAGCACTTGTCGGGGTTGGGCAAAACGCACCACTTCGAATCTGTCCTCCACGGCGTAGTAGTCGTAGATTCGAACGACAGCGGGCTTCAGTTTTTCCACGGCCACGGCCTGCGTGAAGCGCACGCTGAAGCACACCTCGGTGGTGGTGAACTCGTCGAAGTAGAGGCTGGCCTTGCCTTCCTTGAACTCCCACCGCTGGATCACTGCAAATACAATGATCGAAGCTGGATGAGCGCGCCACCGAAGCCTGCAGTTTCATTGCGAGTCCCATCGCATCACCAGGGTACCGCTCCGTGTTTAGATGGTTACAGCAGTGGACATGCGAACAGCGCGTCAGTCGGACGCCGGTGATCTGAAAAATCACACAGGCACTTTAAATATCCCGCATTTCAATTCTCGGAAGTGGTTGGTGAGCACAGCACCAATGCAAATCTGGCAGGCTGTTAGACAATGATGGGGTAAAGTGCCAGTCACGAGCGAAACATGTGACTCTGACGAAGATGTGACTGACTGAATTGTAAAAACACTCATTTCTAACTAAAAATTAGATTACGAGAAAAATGCATGTGCATGTAAACGAATTCAAGAAAACAGGCATCACCTATCACGCTTCATTCAAATGTACAAACGAAATCAAGTGAACGGGTATAACAAATCACGCATCCATTTTTCATGCAAGCCATTTCAATAAAACAGGCATGGCGTATCACGCATCAGGCATCCTTTATACATATAAACTATGTTAAGCAGCACATGTTACACATCAAGGCATACATCAAGTCCGCATAATCGGCCATTGTGAGCCCTGCACGTTAAGGTTTGGTCGCCGACTTTTTATAAGAATGGATTTACTTATTTCCGTCTGGAGGCCCTGTGCTCTGTAGATGGCTTAGCTCTAAAAGGGGCACGGAGTCTAAACCTTAACGTACAGGGCTCATCATGGCCGAATCTGCAAACGTGAGATGTGCCATGATGTGTGGTGTGTGCTAACTTGAAATCGTTTACATGCATAAGTGATGCTTGACGAGTGATGGGCGATGCCTGCTCAATTGAAACCGTTTGCATGTATAATTGATGTGTGATGCGTGATGCCTATTTAGATGAGCTCCCTTGCATGTTTGAATGAAGCATGATGCGTGATACCTATTTACTTGAATTCGTTTGCAATTACACGTATTTTTCTCGCGTATTCAAACCCGTTGTTAAATATGCACTGTACTCGCTGCATGGCGTTAATGACTGGTAACTGCTCCTTGCCTCATCCCCTGAATACTAGTGTTCTGTAAAAACCGTGGCTCGCTGTTTAAAAAAGAACCTGAAAATCGAGCAGGATCATTGACAGGCAGTTTTGAGCTTACTTCTGCCACTTTTCTTGAAAAAGGCATTTTGCCGGAAAATCAACTCATCTACATCTCCATTCTACTGGTTTTTGTACGAGGAATAAGGCTATTACGACCGTCTTATCTCTGGTTAAAAGCGCAAGTTACGCGTTCAATTGCCATGATGATGCTTGTGTTACGCTCTTGTACAACGCTCGGAAGATGACGTGAATAAGGGCCGCATTGGAAACGGCGTGTAGCTGTAAGCACAGTTTCAAGCCTCGTCATAGGACAGCGAGGCTTTGCCGGTGCATCGGGGCTCCTCCGACGAGGACGTGTACACTGGCACTGGCTGGCACGTGTTATTTTGCACGGCGCGGTTAGAATTCCACATTGCCCTGTTAAGATCCTACAGTGCCCACCAATTTCCTGGTATGTGGCTGGGAGAGGTGCCGGAGAGGCGCCGGAGGGGGGGGGGGCGAGGGTCACCCCCCATTGTTGAAACTGCTCGTGTGGCAGAGTCACTGCCCACGAGAATGATAATAAGGATTGCTGTAATCACACAACCACCACGTAGCATAAGGCATGGGGCTTGATTTGAAAAAATACACTATGTTTTCGTGTTTCTGTTCATGCTAGATTGAAATGGAATCCAAAACTTGAGTACGCATCAATAGCCCATTTATATGCAAGGAATACCACGCACAGACTTACCTCCTTCTTTCTCCACATCTCTCAGAGATTTGTCCACCGTCACAAACCCGGATATCATTTCGATCTCAATAATTGCCATGTTGCTCTCAGTATTGGGTTTCTTGAAACTTGCACAGATACCTGTATAACACCATGAAGTCATTACCTTCAGCTCTAAATATTGAAACAGTAAGTTCCGTGAGAAAGGATTGCAGAGCTGTGCAGCATGCGCTCCATGACGATGATTGCAGAATTGACGGGAATATATACTGTCCCAAAATCTCAGATATATTGAATCTTTTGCCTCCCCACTGAAATTGTGTCAAAAACATTGTTAGACAGTTTACTTCCAAGCAAAATTTTACGGTGTAAATGCTTTGCACACGCTTCAGTATGGTTTAAGACACCTGTAAAATTGTAAACACTTTGAAATCTGCAGCGAGTCACAATGAAGTCTTTAGATTTCATAAACATCTGTCAGTTCAAGGATATCACTTTTGGCTTATGCTCGAAGATGAAGCCCAAAGAACAGGTGGCCATATGCAGAGTCCCATCGTCAGTCAAGCACCACCCCAAACAACTTACTCAAGGTGAATGTGGAACACGTGCTGCTCTTTTTGATGATGTTGGCCTTCAGATTGAAGCTCGGGTCAGGGAAAGCAGTCTTGGTGTTGTACCGGAACAACGACTAGAAAATGGGGAAGACAAGTCTGCTACTGGTCCCTATTGCGTATGGATGTAGGGTCATCTTCGGACGCTCATGCGATATGACTTCTTGCAAAGGAATAAAAGTAGAGATCACGAAAGACACAGTGCGTGAGGGACCGCTTCTTTACGGACGTAACAAAGAGAATATCATTGATACCACCAAGATGATGCCGCGGACGCATCGCTGCAATGGTTTGGTGTCTGGCAACACATTCGACACGGCTCTTAGGATTATTAGTACGGGTCGCTGAAAGCCTCGCCGCTGACTCTAAAAAGAAAAGAATGTTTATGACAGAAAAGTGTCAAAAATGGAATTAAAGGCGCTTTAGCGCTGCAGAAGAGCGACATAAGTGGCCATTAAATCATCGGTTTTCGACGGGACAACGAGTTGACCCTTTAGACTAGATAAACGCTCTTCCGGTTCTGACAGTTGGGTTCAGCCGGGGATGAAGACCGAGATCATATGAAAATAATACCTGGATTGATTATTACACCTAGATGGAAGGCCTAGAATCCTGCGTGTACCGCCATTGGCATGACGGTGGAGATATGTGCTCAATTTTCTCTCAGCGGTTCCACCAGCGCCGCCCGGTCAGCTAACCTGCACGACGGCGCACCCCTCGCCGGCCACCTCGAACTTGACCGAGTTGGGCAGCTTCAGGGGGTCCGGGATCCTACGCTGTCGCGTGAGAAGGCGCGTGCTGGCGGTGACGCTGATTCGCTCCGAGAAGCCGCCCTGCGCGGACGCCGTCACGTCCACCGACATCTTGGGTGAGTACGTGGCAACGGCGAACTCAGTTAGCGCCGCCAACGCCACCACAGTGTCCTGCGTGGACACGAAGCCGCCGACGCTGTTGCGCTGTGTATTCACCCACTTGATGGCGAGCGCTGCCTCACCCAGGTTGGCCCGGCCGCCGACCTTCAGCAGCGAGAGCACCATGTATGACGTCATCTCCACGTCGACGGCGCGACTGCCACCGTGCACGCTTGACCGGTCGCCCTCCCAGTGCAGCTGGCCGCCACGGCGCACGCCCTTCTTCAGCAGGGCGGCCAGGCGCGTCGCGCCCTCCGTCCTGCCACTCTGCACGAGTGCGTGTGCCACCAGAACCTCGGCATACAGCGTGCTGAAGACGGACGTCTTGACGAGGAAGTCGAGGCCGCGCTTGACGACCGCCTGCTGGCCGCCGGCCTCCATCAGTGCCAGCACCACGTACGCCGTGAGCGCCTCGTTGCCGCCTCTGCCGACGCCGCCCCGCATCTCACGGTGGAAGAGCGCGCCGTGCGGGCTGAATTCGCCGGTCGCCTCCTGGCGGCCGGCGATCCAGCGCGTGCTGATGTCCAGGTCTTTAGCATCGATGGCAATGTAGCGGCTGGCGGCCGCGTACGAGCGCACCACGTACGCCGTCAGCCAGAGCGAGCCGTTGCGGATCTTCGGCGTCCGCTCCGGGAAAGCGGAATAGGAGCCCTCACGGCGCCGGAAGCGCAGTTCGCGCTGATAGCCTGAGGGCAGGAGCGGCCCGGTCGGACCGTTGGTGGCGTGCCAACACCGCTAAGAGTGGCTCGGCCGGACCGTTGGTGTCGCGCCAATACCACCAAGAGCGGCTCGGTCGGACCGTTGGTGGCGTGCCAACACCGCTAAGAGCGGCTCGGTTGGACGGTTGGTGGCGTGCCAACATCGCCAAGAGCGGCTCGGTTGGACGGTTGGTGGCGTGCCAACATCGCCAAGAGCGGCTCGGTTGGGCCGCTGATGGCGCGTCAACATCGCTAAGCGTCACGGCGGTAGGGCAGTGAGGCAGACAAGGCTGGAGATGCAGCTCACAGCTAACCGATGCTCGATAGCTGACGCAGGTCTTACAACGGGATTAACCAACCTGATCGTGCCATCAATGTTGGAAAGTACACACGAATGGCAGACCACTTGTGACAAGAGAACAGGCCACTTCCGACGGGACGAAGGCAAAGTGCGTCTTTAAAGGTTGCATCCGAATCGGGATCAGGAAAGCTTATAAGCGAATAAGCCTAAACATGCAAACCTGGTACCAATCGGAGGAATCCGTCCAGTATAGTGGTACATTCCACACAAACACAGCATTACATGAGATCTGCCCGCTCATCGTCAGCATGATGATCGACAGACGCAGCTCTGGCTGTTCACCAGCTTACCGGTCCTCATGTTATTCGTAGTTCTTATCCGAAGAGCATCTGTGATCAGCTTGACTTGCTCAAGGTAACGCCGGACGAAGATGTTGGGAACAAAGCCGATCATGTTCTGCTCTCCGCATCCAGTGGGGACTCGCACCAAGCGTTCCAAATTCTGCATACAAAGTTCATCTTTGTATTTGTGTTTAAAGTGCCCACAAAATTAGGGAGTGGATTAATGGGGTGGACACAAATTGGGCACAGACCACGAACACAAGACAATATACTTGATATCGTTTGCGTTTTCTAAATGGAAAACCGCTACAGAAAATAGCAACTGGACCTACATTTCCTTAGCAAAGGATGGGCGAAGGACACTTTTTATGTAAACGCGCGTGCAAAACCGTTGGGATACACATTTTTCTTAAACTTACGGCGCGTAAAATATCTTAGCATTTTGATGGGGGCATTCTCGGTTGTGAAGCGTTCCACCAAACACTCTCGATAACAACAAGGTTTTGCGGACCTGTGAAGCTGTTTTGATAAATAAACGTTGTTAAATATCCTTGTTTGGAATATAAGTAAAGAGTCATCATTCTACGAAAGCTCATGTTTCATGTCATCTACACAGGTTTGCTAATGTTAACAGGCAATCACAATATGGCTCATGAAAATTGGCCAACGGCCTATATATATATATCTATATATATATATATATATATATATATATATATATATATATATATATATGCATATAGTGTCACTCTGGATGCCACGTCAGTGAAATACACCAAAGCATTGATACACAACACTGTGACGCAATGAATTCCCTTCCCAAAATAACATCAATAAATAAACAGGTGTATGAAAAGGATGGCAGGGCCTTCCCTTATGCGCCACTTATGCAACCAACGACCGCGCCCGAATGTTCTGGTAACACTCACCGCGGAGGACGGCGCGAGCAGGTCCCCAACGACGGAGATCCAGGCGCGCTGCGAGTCGGGCACCAGCGTGGGAAGCAGTTGCAGCGGGAACGTCACCACTGTGGCGGCTGGGGTACCCTCTGGCCGGCAAACGAAGGCGGTGGACACCTCCTCCTGCGGGAAGCCCTCAGGCTTCACCAGCAAGCTGCGGCGCAGCGCGTCACTGCAAAAACACGGAGTGTCCTAACCGCCCTGGACTTCCCGATCATCGGCACACCTACATTGTGCATAGCGCTGTATGCACCTGATAGCGTTAAGATCATCGCCAGCCTTTGGTGGATACTTGTGCTGAGCAATGTTGGCTGCGGGCGAATCGAGTTGTAAGTTCTCGCTCTAAATTATGTTCGAACTATAGCAAACCCGAACGGATCAACAGATGGTACCGCACCGGAGGTGTGTGGCAAAGCCGCTAAATGAGATAACCCTCCCAACACGCAAAGGTGGACCTCCACAGCATTCTGGGAGTTTTAAAATGTGTGGCAATCTGTGGACACCTACGTGCGTTGGTATATATATATATATATATATATATATATATATATATATATATATATATATATATATATAAACTATACGTGTATAATACAATATGTCTAGATACTATGACACCTGGCCGCGATTGGAAGGAAAGTCGCTACGCGGCGTTTATTTTAGATCGGTGTTTTCACTGACAAAGTTCACGACTGTCGGACCAGAAGCAGCCATCAACATTCTAAAACGAACTACACCTAACCTCCCTCTCGTATGCGACACCTGATAATGAAGCTTCCTATTGGCGTACATGATGCCACATTGGGACACGTGTTTCATGTTAGCTAACATTGGGTGAGTGACTGTCCGTCCGCAGTTTCTCCACTCTGAAGCAGCTGTGTCATGGTGTTGTGACCTGTTCCGCCTGGCAGACGTGCACCGGGGAGCCGTTCACCTGGCCTGCACGGTGTTGGGCTTGCCACAGGCAGCGCTCGTCCGCCCGCACCGTCGCCGTGATGTCCACATCGCCCAGGCTGCTGAACTGCAGCGGAGGAAACTCCACCACCGACGGCCGGTCCGCCCGCACGCAGATCGCGTGGGTGCGTGGCGCGCCGCCGTCCACGCTGAAGTCCTTAGAGGGCGCCAGTTCGACCAGCACCTACACACGCGGGGTGCCTGGTCAGAGCTCGGGCTAGAGCGTTGACGACCGGAGTTCGGGACGGGGTGCAGGCGGTCGGGCAGCATGCCTGAACGAGACGCGAATGGTGTAGATGGTACTTGTTATATACTGCTGACGACAGAACATCCAAGACACCAATTACACGTGACATTTATTGCACATCACGAACTACTTATTCACAAGATTTACCCCGCAATATTAATTTGAAGATACGAACTACTCATCTATGACCTTTACACGCAACATAAATGTACTCGCTAACTTACTTATCCATGAGCTCTATACGCGACATAAATCTTGATGCACGGAACCAGGAATCCATGAGCATAACACGCGTTTGCAAAACGTACTTTGACAAGGCGTTCTTGTGGGAAGTGTTACTAAGGCTTGAAACATTCTGTATAGGCAAAAAGATAGGCGGACGTAGAGCTATTATCCGGCGAATTCGACGAAGCATTATTCATAGCTTTGTTTTCTCCCGTATGGCGTTTACCACAGTGGCTCCTTTCGAAAACGGAAGTCAAGTGTAAGGATGAAATGAGCCGACTTCACAAATAGCTGAAATGTGGCCCGGAAGATTTCCGGTAACGCCCAGAATTATACGACAGTTTTTAGGGTATAACACTTTGCCATGTGCCCCACCTAAGAAGCTTTGAAGATATGATGGTGCGAATGCGAGAATTTGTCTTGTTTTAACGTGAAATGCCTCAGACTGGTATGCACAGCCTGGAAAAACACCTTTGTGTATTGGAAACATGGCTCGCCAATGACGTGCTACATGGTCTGCCTGGTCTTCCTTTGAAAACGTACGTTACACCGCACGAAAGCAAGTGAAAAGTTACGAAGCAAGGGAAACAGCGGAGTAGCGAACTAAATTGTAGAGGAAAAGGGGACTACGAACGTAACTCAAGTACTGGTTCCGTTGCATTTTTTGTTGCTTTGAACAAGTTACGCTTCCGCTACTCGAAGGAGCGGTTCCGTGGCGCAACCGACTAACGAGTAGTAACAGCCCGTGCCCACATTTGTCCAGAGATGAATGGTCAAACCACTAAACATAGCTCGGTAAATGATGGATCGCTACTTAGTCGGCTCACTGACATATCTGTGCTCGTAGGAGCCATTCATCGAGATATGTCTATTGACGTGAGGGATTTGTCGATAAATCCGCACTCGCGCGGGTCACACGCCAACATATCTGTATTCGAATGAGCGACTCACCGACACTTCTGTGTTCGAATGGGTGGACTTGCCGACACGTCTGTATTCGAATGGGTGACTAACCGACGCGTCTGTATGTGAATGGGTGATTTACCGACACGTCTGTATTTTGAACGGCGTGATTTTACCGACCCGTCTGTATTTGAATGGAGAATCACCGACTCGCCTGTATTTGAATGGGTGACGTACCGACATGTCTGTATTCGAAAGGGTGACTTGATTCACGTCTGTATTCGAATGGGTGACTTAGCGACACGTCTGTATTCGAATGGGTGACTTACCGACACGTCTGTATTTGAATGGGTGACTTACCAAACGCGTCTGTACCCCGAATGGGTGACTTACTGATACCTGTGTGTTTGAATGAGTGACTTACTGGCACCTTCGTATTCGAATGGTGACTTACCCGACACGCTCTGTATTCGAATGGGGTGACGTTACGACAGATCAGTCGCCAGGAAGTTGAACTACGGAGACCTTGAGCCGTAGCAGTTCGCCTCGCTTGACCGAGAACGGCACGTTGATCTCAGCAAAGAACGGCTTGAATGTGGTAATGGAGGCCGTCTCCGAGAGCCCGAACCCGCTCTGTGGACCCGGAGCTCCAGTTAGCAGCTGGCTTCAGCGACACGCTGGAGACTGGACCACCTCCGACAGCCTCAGCGTTGCGGACAGGTGCGGATCAGGCTGGCGGTTGACTGGCGTCAGTATTGTATTATTACGTGTTGACTGGCGTCAGTAGTGTATTGTCACGTGTTGACTGGCGTCAGTATTGTATTGTCACGTGTTGACTGGCGTCAGTATTGTATTGGCACATGTTGACTGGCGTCAGTATTGTATTGGCACGTGTTGACTGGCGTCAGTATTGTATTGGCACGTGTTGACTGGCGTCAGTATTGTGGCATGTGTTGACTGGCGTCAGTATTGTATTGGCACGTGTTGACTGGCGTCAGTATTGTATTGGCACGTGTTGACTGGCGTCAGTATTGTATTGGCACGTGTTGACTGGCGTC